TCATAGTTGTGATATACCTTATGAATTTGTTCATTGGCCTGCTTAGCAATGAAATAGAAAAATATGATATTCAAGAAGCATTCTTGGCCCAAAAAGCAAAAATTATAGCTGAAATTGAATTATTTTATTTACTTCCTAATCAACGCCGGTGGGGAGATTGGTTTCCAGATATATTGTAACTATCTTTTTTGATTTTTTTTTTTTAAAAATATTTTAATTTATTAATTGGTATTGACATTGTTTATTAGAGCCTATAATGTACCAGTTGATGATGTTGTAAAAAAAATCAAAGAAATAGATGATAGTAATGAAGATCCAGATTATTTGCCATTTATTTCTGACCAACTTAGAAGCATGGTTGATAGGCCCAGACCAGACAATGATTCAAATAATATCATCAAGCATAGATTGGAACAAATTGAGAACACAATGGAAATAATTTTGAAGAAATTAAAATGATAATGAAATAACTAAAAATTAGAATAATTAGATAATTTGGGAAATTGCAAAATTTGAAAATGATGTGCGCTGGAACACCCCTACATGTATTTTATTAATTTTAAATGAATTCTATTTTGATTATTTGGCAGGGGGATGGGGAAAGTTCATTATTTGACAGTGTGTTTAATTGATAAAATAAATACAATAATAATAAATTTTCGTGAAAGAATGAAAAATAGTCAAAATGGGCAATAGGAACCGATCTTTCAAGGAACCTAATTTTAAAGAAAAAAAAACTGGGAGATATTGTGAAATAAGAATATTCAAAATACAAGTATTGTACATGACCCTCTCCTCATTGAAATCGTACTCTAAATGGTTGGCTGAACTTTCACTTTGTGATCATGTGATTATTGAAAGAGAATGAAAAATCTTGCGAAAAAGAATATGGAATTGAATCAATTTCTTAATATAGTCCATCCTTAATTTATTCTATTTTTAATTTTTTCGTCATGCTCCCAGTATCTTGTGAAATTGGCACAGATAAATTAATTTTTTAATTAATCAGAAAATATAATTTTCGTCTTCTCTTATAAATGTAATGAATTTCACTGCTACGTTGAAATATTACATATTTGTGTATATTGATATATATATATATATATATTTTACAATATGGTATAGATCAAAGATTTAAATAAAATAAAGTTCATCAACAGTTAACATAATAAAATTTACAAGTTTTTTTATACAAATAATGTCTATATTTTTTGTTTGCTATATAAATACTAAATACTATATATAAAAAGAAATGAATTGAGAGAAAAGTATTTTTTGAATTAAATAAGTAAAATATATTTAAAATATACAAAAGAAAAATTTAATTTTAAATTAAAAAAAAAAACATAATAAATTAAACAAATTAAATTAAACAAAAAATTATAATTCTATCTAAAAAAACATATTAAATTTATCGTTGTTGTCTTTTTTTTGCATGCGCTATAAGATCTCTATATTTAAGAATATAAATATTATGTATTAATTAATTAATATTATCCAAACATACAAAAGAATATTTTTGTCACTTACGAAATTATACTAGCCCAAGGTACGTTAACAAATGTCATGCAACACTTTAAATTCTCGGTATTTGATAATGTTTGTTTTTCAGTTATTGACTGTGATAATCTTTTTAAAGATTGAAAAAATGAATTTGTAGAATTTGATCTTTGAGGTGTACTAATTGTTGCTGATTTGTTATTATGAATGTTGTTACCATCATTATTATAAGCAGAATTAGATTTAGAGGTCGCGTTATTTGTGTAGTGGTTATTAGATGTGCTATTATTATAAATATTTGTTGGGAGGTTGGCGATTTCTGACATCTCTTGTTCTTGTTCTGCAATTGATTCACCTAATGATAAAGCAGTAATTGCCACCTATGTGTATATACATGTATATATATATATATATATATAGACACACACACATAATGAATATTAATATTAATAAAATGTTAATATTAAAATTAAATCAAGTATATAATCAAAAGAATACCTGCGCATGACCTTTCCCATGTGGACCTCTCATCATAACATATTCAGTTGGAGGAGTGGTAGGACCTATTTTAAACCTCCTATTTAATTTACCGTCAGCCTTTTGTTGATAAACGTCTAATAAAGAAGTATAAGATGCAGCACCTTGAAACAAAATAACTTTTGTATCTTTTTGTTGCGGGAAAAGATTATTTGTCATTGACCTTCTTTGTCTATTATTACGACGACGATTACTATTATTATAATAATAGTCATCACTAATATCATCATCATAATCCTCATCATAGTCGTCATCATCATCATCATCATCCTTATTAGTGCTATTTGGCATTGTGACTGCTAACTCTACACATAAATATTCATCTTGTGACACGATCAAATTTTCAAACATATCCTCATAATCATCAATAACATAATAAATAAGTGGATATGAACATTCCATCGACGAATCTTTAACATCCATTCGTGATTTTGTTGGTAACGCATATACACGTTTTGATACATGTTTCTTTGAACATGTCATACTGCTCTTTTGATTATTAGAAGGTTCATTATTACTATTATTATTATTATTATTATTATTATTATTAACATTTGATGATGACAGTGAATTATTAATATTATCAGTAGTAGGTGGTATAGGTTGTGGTGGCGGTGGCGTAGGTGGTGGTGGTGTACGAGTACAAACTGCTACAGTTAACTTACATGGCAACTTTTTTTTTTTTTTAACATTCAACATTTATCATTATTAATATAATAATAATTTTGAAAAATTCAAATTTAATCAAAAAAAGAAAAAAAGATTACTTGAACTATTAAATTTAAAAAAAAAGTTTCTTTCCACAATACAGGATGATCCAAAGGGGGCATCGTATTAGGAGCGACTTTTCTTTTTACAAACACTGGATCCAAACTTTCATTTTCCGGATGCATTTGTCTAACGAAAAACAACAAATCATCATTTTTACTATCGCTATTTTCCAAAAAATATTCTACAAATAAACTTAGCCATCTATTTAAAAATATATATGCTTGTGAATAATTTTAGTAAAGTTAATTGAAAGTAAATTTATTCGTTATGGGACCTTGAATCTTCTGCATCTAAATCATCTTGATTAGAACGAGGCGAAATGGAAGCAAAAGTGGTAAGGGATGGTAAAGTATTGGTTATTGGCTCATGAAGGTTTTCAGCAATAAGTCGATCAAGAATGAGTTGTAAGTGAGACATGATATTTATTATTATTAATTTCTATTGTTATTGATCTAAAATGTAATTTAATGTTATTATTTTATTATTTTTGTATTGAACGAATGTAATAAACTATCAATAAATAGTGCAGCATTCGTACCACATAGATCGATCAATAAATAAAACAAATCTGTCTTATTTTGACAAAATATATATTTCCCCTAATACTAATGGAATCTTCAATCGTTTCAGTATTAGATTCATTGTAAGTAAATTAAGTTATTATTAACGTAATGCAATACAATGTATAATATACTTAGTTTATTTGTTAATTAAGTAGGATTCTTTTAATTTAATATTTATATAGAATTAATACAGATGGTGTTAAAGGTGTTTTGGTAACTGATAAACATGGACTATGTTTAGGCGGTAAGTTGAACATATACTGTTTATTATTGTGTTTACATGAATGTCTAATAACAAAATCGTTATTATTATAGTTAGAGGGATTGCAAATTCTGTTTGTTCAGGTTTTATTTCTTCAATTGCAAAATATGCAAAGTTATTAAATGAAGAGGAAGAAGAAGAAGAGGAAGAAAGTTCAATAACGATTAAAATCGAAACAGATAACATGTAATTATAATTATTTTTTTATTACTTTGTTTTATAAATGAATGAATAAATAAAATGAATTTCTATTTCTAATAATTATTATTATTATATGTATTCTATTTCCAATAATAATTATTATATATGTATCTATTACCCTCCCTCTTTTTTATTATCTTTATATATTTAGGATAATATTAATAAAAGATGATAGGAATTGCACCCTTGCAATATTTAAAGATAAATTATAAATTATAATAATTAAATAAATTAATAATTATGATTCAAATGATTAATTTTGTTTCATTGATTCAACTAATAATTTTACATTCATCTTGGTTTTCACGCCAATATGACATTGATTGATGTATCGCCCAAAATGTACTCAATGCTGCTGCGACGACAAAGAAATGGAAAATTTGGTGTGAAGAACCCTTTAAGATAGAAAAAGAAAAATATTATATGTTATATATTATTATATTGTTATTTATTGTGTATGTATAAATTAATAAATATATTAAATAAATAGTAAAATTAAATTAATTACCAAAAAATCAAATGTTCCAGGTGATAATCTTTCAGGCATTCTAATGATTTAAAAATAATCATTTACATAAAAATTATTTTTATTTACATAATAATAATAATAATAAAATACCTTGATCCGTATAATATTGCACCAACTACGTAAAATGAACCCGCCATAATTAACCATTTTAAAGAAACTTCATAACTAAAATTTAGCTGTCATACATATATAATTAAACCAGTATTATATTAAATTAATTAATTATTAAATGCAGCAGCACACTCCCTCACTCCCTCCCTCACAATCGAATATATTACTTACCCCATAAATTGAGATGGAATGTAGGACAGGTAGTAATGAACTTGATCCTAATAATAAAAATAATGACGTACGAAACCATCTGAATTCAGGTGTACGAAATTTTTTTGAAATTGCAACTGATATCTAAATTTTAATAATATGTTGATTGGTTGATTAATTATTATATTGTGTTATAAATATATAAATTTGATTTAATACAAACCGTTGCAACACCAAAAAGTGATATTAAACCAAGATAAAAAAATTTCAAATAATAATCACAATAGAACCCTAATAATATTTAATTAATATTTAAATTAATTAATTAATTAATTAATTAAAATAATCAATTAAATTATTTTTTATTATTAAAATCTCAAACCATACCATAATATACCAAAGGAACATTTGATCCACTAAAAAATATTATCAATAAAAAATATTATATAATTAATTAAAAAATATTGTTTAAATCTACTGATCATCATTGATTGAATTGATTGGTCACTTACACAATTAAAGCAACAATTCCAACGTAATCACATCTATTCCAACTTGCGCAAACCTATTATTATGATCAATATAATGTCTATATATATTGATATGGCATGATCGTAATTAATCATCATTATAATAAATTTAATTAAACATGTACCTACCGGCTCAGAATGACAACTTACGGCATGAAATGCGGACGAGCATCCGAGACAAATCATTGCGCCAAATAAAAAGCAAAAAATTACCACAGTTTCAAAGAATTCAATTGTTGGTTCTGTTTTGAAATAAAGAAAAGTGAAAATTGAAAGAACCAAAAATATCATTGCTCCAACAAAATGAGACCAAATATTCACTAAATTGTTTAATTGATAAAAATTGATTAATAAATTAAATTTTATATTATTTTTATTATATCTTCATGAACGAGTGAAAAAAAAGTATTTCCATCTTTACCACTTTCATTATGGAGATAAAATAATGAGTTTATGCATTTAATGTATGAGAATGTTGGTAACCTATATCCTAAGATTAAAAGCATAACAATTATAATAATTATAAATTAGTACATTAATATATTTATTTATGTATTACTGCACAAATGTGTACTGTATATAAACACCTCTAATGATGGCACTGTTATCTTTCATCCAATTTGGCAATTCTGAAAAAGTGCAAGTAAGATTTGATTTTTTGATTGGTGATTGAGGTGTTTGTGGTAATGATTGTAAAGATGAAGTAAGGGTTGAGGTTGTTGTAGTTGTTAATAATAAAGATGGTAATCTACGTTGTTGTAAACCTGACATTTTTTTTTTTTTTTTTTTTTGATAAAAGAATGAATAAAAAATACTATCTTGATCTATTTATTTGATTACTTTTATTACTTTTCCAAAAATATTTTGACAATTTACATTTACATATGGGAGAACATGCAAGCTCCTTATACGTTCTCTGAAAAGAACATCAATGTTACATTAGTACAACAAATGTACTTTGAAAAAACAAACAGTTATTATTATGAGTGGCTTTTCAAAATTCTATTTTTGAACAAGCATTAATATTAAATAATAATAATGAATCTAAAGATTGCGAATTTATAACAAGGTAATCTATACTATATAAATCAAAATTTTGTGATTATAATGACTTTTAAACTGGTTGTTTAACCGGCCTTTTAACGATCGGTATTTCGGTCATCTAAAAAAGAACTAGTTCATTGACCAAACACAACCTTAAAAAATTTATTTTATTACCTATTTATATTTGAAATAACTTTTATGCAAATTGAACTGCCGCCAATCAATGGTTTAATTCGTGATACGTGATAAAAGTCTAAATTTTCATTTCTTTGTGCGTGAAAATGAAATCTGAGAATTTGTAATTCACGTACGTGACATTCAAATTAGCCAATCAGAATTTCATATCCAAACACCCCACCCCAAAATTTTAATTATAAATTTTCGATTTCATATAGTTTCAATTTCACATACAACATTATCGTAAAAAAAGATGATCCCATTTTTAGTTTTTTAAATTGTTCAATAAATTCGGCTTATGCTAAACAAAAATATTTATCTAAAATTGTTGCACTGATCTATTACTCTTATGACTTGACAATTTTTTCCCACGAGTACGAATGCATTTTAATTCATTTTCGAATACATTGAAATCAACTTTATGGTATCTGTAAAAAAAATTTCTGGGACAAGGGCATTATCCTGTTGCTCGTTTATTTCCATTAAATTTGGCCGAGTCAATATTCTCATACTCCATTATTAAATGCTCGCCTGCTAAAAGTGAATCTTGAATTTCACGATTTTCTTCAACATTATTCAAAAATTCCAAATTTTCAGGTAAAATGCCAGTATGCTTCCAGAAAAATTTATTACTGTTGACGTTACATGCTTTTTTGGTAAAACAAATCACATCATATATTGTAACTAGTGCAACAGATTTTTCTAATACCTGAGCTGTCTCGTAAGCCTCGATGCGATCATGAACCAACAATTTTTTATACTGTGCTTGAATAATTCTCGCATCGTACGGTTGTAGATGACTGATAGTATTTGGTAAAAAAAATTTCACCTTTAGATTGCTCAAAGTATCCAAAATTTCATGAGAATGAACTGGTGCATTGTCGACCAATACTGACTTGCATCCATGCCGATTGATTAAATCGACAAATTATCTTTATTTTTCACCATCAAGTGAACGAGAATTTTTATATTTATAGATAAACAACGGATCTAATTTCTCATCATCTGTTGCGTTACATGTCAAAAGGATTGTTACTCTATTTTTTTTGAATTTTATGGCTGGTGTTTTCATTATAAATTAAATTTTGCAGCCTTTCTCTTTCGCCATGCTTGTTATACTATTGAAGATTATAACGCAGTTGGAAGTTATTTAATCATCCACTGGAACCTGAAAATCAGTGATGTTGAGAAGATTTTAAATTGTCGCGCTTTATTCAAAATAATGTCGCTACTAATTGTTAAATTTGCAGTTTATGCTTCATGACCCATAATACTAATGCTTCTTCAAATTCTATATACTGAGGTCGTCTAACCCGTTTTTTTTTGTTATCTTGGTCGTTTGGATCAACTGCTAGATATTCAGCTTTTCTTTTAAGAATATCACTTACTGTATTCGGATAAAATTCCAAATTCTTCTGCAAGTTTTTTGTTTAAAGAATTTAGATTTTGTTCCTTTTTTTAAACACGATTCTCTTTTTGTAATAAAAGTTGATGTAGTTTTTTTTTGCTATTTTTATTAGAACTTGACATGGTCAAAGTAAAGATTGCAGTTGAATTTGTAGAAGATTCAACAAATTTGGGTGAAAATTTGTTTGTTGATGCGTAAACATTTATTTTTAAACCGAACTTTATCATTACACAAATCTTTGGCTTAGAAAGTTTCATTTGTACAATCAGTTAGGTTTGGTTAATCAAGTAAAGTAGAAATTATACCAAGATTCGGCTTAATGAATAATTTTTATTAAATATGATTTGACTAACCAATTTGCATCATTATAAATTGAAAATCGGTTTATGGTAGTTCGGTTTATCGAGATTTGATTGTGCGCGGATTGTTAAGGCTTCTGTGCCTAAGTTTCAGTCTCTTGTTACAGACCAACGATACGGTTTCATGTTGGTATATTAAAATAATGAAATTCAATATAGTCCTGTTCTTTTCCATGATTGATTGTACATCTTTGACTCGATCCTATGATTAAAACTTGCTACTTCTGGACCAGCATAAGTAAAGAATAAATGTTGTTAAGATACATAATTTTACCCATTAATATTAACAATGATTTATTTCATTGATGATGTTCAATCTTATCAACAATCAATTTATCAATTTAACGATTCTTATGAGTTTCTACTTTAGTTGTTTTGTTGTGCCTAATATTTATATTTTTTATAGAACCCATTGATTTGATTATTGTTTTTTAGTCGCAAAAAAATTGAACAAGTCAGGTGACTCGTTGTTGAAAGGAGAAATTTTAATTAAGATTCGCCCAAAATAGGGGTTGGCACCGTTAACCGGTTAAGATAATTTTTTTAATCGGTTAACTCTTAATTTTAACGGTTAATTAACCGGTCAAAGAAATTTTGCGCGGTGCCAACCTCTAGCCCAAAACATTTCCTCTACCTGTTGATCAAATTAGTTATAGGGTAATTCCATTTTTATTGATTTGAAGCCGGCGATTCCCAGAGACCTGGTATTGTTTGACTACGTTGGATTCAAAGGAAGATTTCAGGTTAAAAATGAAAATGTCAAAATCAATTATCAATATACATGGCCGTATTAAATAATTTAGCAAATTTATTTATCAATGTTTGCTTTATCTTTATCCGCAGTAGAAATTCCAAAAGAAAAATTTAAAACCACTGCTGCAAAATTTAAGAATGTTGAATTTCATTCGATCAAAAGAAACAGACAGAGAACGATTTTTACCAAGCGTTAAAATTCAATACAATTAAAAAAGTTATACTGATACATTTTATATTGTAATTTTGTGCGAGTCGTCTGATTAATTTCTAGTGAGATAATATTGTTTATATGAAATTGACTGACAGAAGACATAAATTTATTTCTTGGACCAATATCCGAAGGTATTTACATTGTCAATGTTTTTGCATCAATTTTCGACAAACCTTTTATAAAGACAAAAAGCAATGGAATACTTCTTATGTTGAATCACGTCTTAATGAAAGCGCCAAAAATTTTAATTCTCAGATCTTCTGGAATCATTGACATCTACGGATGATCTATGAATTCCAACTCCGGTATTCCGAGGTCTATACCATGGAGAGATATGATTGAGGCTTGTGAGACCAGCCTGGAAAATTTTTCTGGCGTAAACTTATCCTTAAACGGTTAAACTAATAAAATTCCGGATTTTTTATTTGTAACACGAAATTCTGCACGTTTGTGCACGTGCGTAAAACACAAATTTTGGGTTTAACTCGTGTTGGTAAGTCGTGGTCTGTATTTGGTGCGCTAACATCTTCAAGAACGTTCGTGTGACCTTTGTTTTTATTTTATATATTAATAAATATGAAAATGTATTGTTTAATGTTAATTGTAAAATCAATCATGGCCATTTATAAAGGCAGAAAATTTGAGCTCAACATTAAAAGATCATTGGGCAACCATAAAATAAGTCTTGTAAGGACCGAGTGAGTATTTTTTACTCACTAAGTAATTGTTGAGTTATTACGTATCTGAAGTTACGCTGCTACTAGGATTTAAAAGAAAAGAAATTGAAAGCACTCTGTGGCCATAACTTGTGAAAGTTACCAGTTAGGTAACCAGACCTAATGTATGGTGGACGACCTGATTATGGACCTTCTTTCTTTCATCCGAAAAACCGCTGACTGCAGTGTCAAGGGCCTGTAGTGAATAGGATACATGAAAAAATTTAAAAGCTCATCGTGGCCATATCTTGTTGGACGACTTATTATGAACGTTTATTTTGCTTCTTGATAATGATGAAACAAAACTTATTTTTTTTATATTATTATTTTCTAGACATTCCGGGGATGGAGGAATTGACTTAATAGGGGCGTTTGTTTATGAGGGTGAAAGATATGCCCTAGTTGTCCAATGCAAATTAATCATGTTATTTAATATGAATATATAATATTATGGAGCTTGCTGTAAAACTTACAAACTTAAAATTTTATAAGTTTTGCGCAGTATCATATAAACATTATGTCAGGCCGTAACTATTCCATAAAATGCGTCCAAAAAAAAGTCCTAATGATAGTTATGGGTTAATTGATTTGTATATATGGATGTTCGGAAGCATAAAAAAAATTTATATAAATTACAATACAGAAACTATATGAGATTTTCTGTGGTTCAAATATGATTATTAAATGACGGCGATGACAACTCGCATGCTTTATACCAAAATATAAAATAAATACAACAACTGCTGAACTGTATATGATGAATTTTTCTAATCCATTATTTACTTGAAAAAATTCTTGAAAATCTACATGATGGCAATGTCTGTTTAAAGTTCGACGGTTTTTAATTGACTGATAGCTAGCTGAATTTAAAATATAGTTTCTAGAGTAGTCATCCAAGCACGCGAAATTTGTTTGCTTGACGCTTCGAGTCTGAAGTCAAAAGATATATTTGCATTTTGATGAAAATTGCTCTTTTATGAAAATTATTATTGAAGGATGATGCGTTAGCTAAAAGAAAAGATTTATTAAACTAGTTTTAAAAATGAATAAATTCTACATGCTAATAACAATAATATATCACATGATCACAGTGCTAGTAATAAAGATAGAATTTCTATCACTTGTAACAGTTTTTAATTTATTAGTTTCTCAAATGAATTTTTATTTTTATTTTTATTTTAGACATAAACAATAAAAAAAATCATCTCTACATTTACTATCTTAATTGAGTACATATAAATTCATTTGATGAAAAATATATAAACATAATACAATTGATAAATTAATGTCAACATTGTATCGACATTAAAAATATTACAAGAAAAATTGATTATTACAATTATGATTACTAATCTTTCAAAACTTCTTTATAGTTGGCCGTCAATTGAAATTAGCATCACCCAACTGCATGCCAATTCAATATAAATTATTGGAGCGCCATTTTGGCAATCCAAATACTACTCCTTCACATATCTTTATTGCAAGATCTGTACCATGTGCTAAATTACTGAATCGTGCCGGTAGAGTCGATGACAAGAATGTTTAGATGTATCATCCATCTCTCCAGCGACTTGGATTCCAAGAATTCCAAATTCATTTTTATCAGGCTTGTAGCAGCCCTTATGCACATGGGCCAACTTCACCTTATTGTTCTCTTTTTTGCTCACGTTGTAGACCAACACTCCAAAACTATAAATGTCTAATTCTATTGTGTATGATTCACTTGGTGCTATAGTATTAACATAATTTTTGAACTATAAAAAAAGCAATATTTCAGTAATAATAACAATAATAAATGATAATGATATTTAAGAAAAAATCTGATACAAGTAACGTAATAAAAATCTATTTTTACCTCTTTAATTAATATTAGTTCGTTAGAAATATTTTGTGAATTATTTATTTTTTTTAATGTAACAAATCTATTTCCACAAACTCTCTTATCAGTTTTATATTTATAATCATTTATCCAATTAGCCTTGCATATAGTTGTAAAACCACCTTCGTCTATCTTTTCAATATCTTTCAGATCATAAGGGACCCGTTGAAGACATAAATAACTTTCATATACTTTTGCTTCAAGTTGTATACTTTTAATTATTCCATCCATTTTTCCATTTCTACTGGTCCATACTTCATTTAATAACTTCGGGTCGCATGATTGGCACCGTGAATAATCAGTATTATACTTCATTATACTTATTACAAGTTAAACATCTCTGAAAAAAATTTTTTTGTTACACGAACTATTTAAAAAAAAACTAATAATAATGAATTTCCCGATTTAAATTTCAAGTTTTTGTCCAAGATTGATGTTGGAATTAGAATCACGTTTTACAGCAATGATTTCGATGTGAAATGTTTTTATGCTTTCAATACTTGGATAGCAGGATTATCATATACAAGGCAAAGAAAGGATGCAAAAGAATGATTTATCAAAAGTCGTATGGAGATATTTGACACAACATCGTCAAAGGATGAAAATTAACATCCAGGAATGAATTATCGTAAGTTGGGGACCAAAGAAAAAGATGTTTAGGAAAGATGTTCGTAAAATCTTCAAGGGTTGCTACTCATCTGCAATAACAACAACCATTGCAACCATTCACAATATTTTTAACAAAATTTTACATTGAAATATAATCTTGGAAACAATTTGTATGTTGATATTGATTCACCTTCACCATCTTTGCTTTCAATATCACTGCCACCATTAACCATTTAAATACTGATAATCATGCTTCTATTGCTATTGTGAAAGCTATATAAATACTACTGCATGTGCAATGACAACAGCAGTACGTCTCAACCATCGGGAAAAAATACGCAAATTGCGCGTTTAATATTGGTTTAATCTGCATAATAGATAAAATAAACGATAATACACTTAGTGTAGTAGAGATTAAACATTTATTACATTTACTGATATATTAATTTTACACATCGTGTAAATATTTTCGTAATGTGTTAGATAAAGAATTCGATTAGGAACAGGGATAGTGTAGATCAAATTTAACTTGCCAAACAAGTAGTACCAAGTGAACTGTTCAAAGGAATCTTAGTTAAAAGGAAAAGTGCCATTGATAAAATGGAAATGAACAATCAGTAAAAGGAATGAAGTCACTGATAAATGGAAACGGATCATTAAAAATAGTAATAACAGTCAAAATATAATAATTATTATTATAACAATGGGGGAGAAACATACAGCAGGAAATATCCAGACCTGAATGACGAGAAATCTGATCAAGTCTTTTCATTAATACAAAACTTAATGTGCTAAAGCCAACATTAATTACATGGCATAAATGACCTTTAACGGGAATGATGCATAGAAATTGTAAACCAAACTGGCTTACGAAGCCAAGAACCAAATAATATTTAGTTTACGAGATATGAAAATAGGAACATGGATATTAAATTTAAAATATATTTTGCCAATAATATGGAGTTTGCTTTGTCATCAGCATTATTGAAATAAATAAATAAACAATTTTTTTGTTGTACCATGTCTTATCAAACCAATTCATGCATCTTCTTTTTGAAAATCGTCTGGCCAATACTAATTAGTAATTGTAAAATTTATCAATTGATTGATAGTATTTTGATTTTGATCAGAGACTTTCATTATTACGACTTCCTATACACGTGAATTACATCACAGAATAAATTATAACAAAAAACAGTGTTTATTTTAATTTATTTATTATTTTTTTTTTTGATATGTTTATTAGACAAGTGTATCGTAAGGGATTGGTGTAATAGTAGTTGGTATATTCTTCTTGGTTGAGACGTGACGTGAAGTTCTTGGAAGTACAGGTTGTCTCTTTAAATTTACTTTTTCTATAAAAAAAATAATTTTAATTTGAACATCCAATTAATTAATTAATTTTGTAAGCGTAAAATTCTATATATATATATATATATATATATATATGTAATCAAATTTATACAAACCTCCTTTAGCTCTAGCATCTTTCTTTTTAATTGCATTTTCTTTAACACGACGTAAGAAATCATCTCTACATTTTGAATGTTTTACATGTTCGATACGAACATTGATTCTCTTCTCAATGTATCTATTACCAACACGTTTATAAATGATGACACCAACTGAAGATTTCGTCACATTATAAACAATTCCTGTACGTCTTTATTATTATAATAATTATTATCACATGTCATATAAAAAGATTTAATGATTAGATTGGAAAAAAAAGATAATTGAAAATAATAAAATAAATGTGTAATTGATTGATTGATTGACCCTTACCCGTGATAAAATTTATGCGGCATACCTTTTTGAATTGCACCGTTTGCTTTAACATCTACGATATCGCCAACTTTATATATTTTAAGATAGGTTGAAAGCTTAAGATATCCATGATCTTTAAATTTACGAGAGAACATATACCGTGTGCGAGCACGGATACCATATGAGTGAGGCATTTCTTCAAATCTAACAAATAAATAATTGAGAGAAAATGAATTAAAAATTAAACTTTCGTGGATTATATAAATGAATTCTTTTTTTACCTTTTTTTTTAATTTTTTAATTCAATAATTTTTTTGTGTGGATTAAAATTTAATTGGTTAAATTAAAAAAAAAATCTAAAAAATCTAAAATCTTGGTTATTAATTCTACAATAATATAATAATAATTTTATAAAAATGCCAGGAGCTCCAATTAATTGTACTTGTTTAATTTTTTCTAATTGAATAAATCTTAATTTATATATTCAATGATTACAATTGATTCATTCATATTCAATTTACCTCTTTTCTTTTTCTTTTATCTTTTCTTCTTATTATTATAATTATCATCATTGTGTTATAGGCTCAAAGACTTACAAGGTTCCACGTCGTCCCTTTGAGAAGGAACGTATGGACCAAGAACTTCGATTGATTGGTGATTATGGATTGAGAAACAAACGCGAAATTTGGCGTGTGGCTTATACATTATCAAATATTCGAAGAGCCGCTCGTGAACTGTTAACATTAGATGACAAGGATCCTCGTAGACTTTTTGAAGGAAATGCATTGATTAGAAGACTTGTTAGAATTGGTGTGTTGGATGAATCTAAGATGAAACTTGATTACGTATTGGCTTTGAAAATTGAAGATTTCTTGGAAAGAAGACTACAAACCCAAGTCTATAAATCTGGTTTGGCCAAATCTATTCATCATGCACGTGTACTGATAAGACAGCGTCATATTCGGTATGTGTTGAAATTTAAATTTTATTTTATTTTTTTTTGTAAGGAGACATACATACATACATATACTAATTTTTACTTATTTTTTGGAAATAAAGTGTTGGAAAACAAATTGTCAATATTCCTAGTTTTATCGTCAGGTAGAAAAACCTATTTGATAATTTTTAATTTACTAATTTATTGATTGATTAATTAATTAATTAATTCATACAATTTATTCATACATTCATTAAATTTTTTCAAAAGGCTCGAATCCCAAAAACACATTGATTTTGCACTTACTTCACCTTATGGTAAATATTCTAAAAAAAAAAAACTTAATAATAATAGTAATAATAATAAGAAAATATAAATTTATAATTTTATATATAATCTTTTTTAAGGTGGTGGACGTCCTGGACGTGTAAAGAGAAAACGCTTACGATCAGCATCAAAAAGTAATATATATTTTTTTTAAAAAAAAAAAAAAAAGTTTTCCTGATTGCTTTTAAATTGGATATTCACTAATTTTATTTTATAAATAGCTAATGATGAAGAAGGAGAAGATGACGACGAATAAACAATTCAATCAACATTATTTAATATTAAATAAAAACATGTTATAAAAGTTATTTAATAATAAGGAAAAAAATAAGTTTTAGATCAAATAAGTTTTTTTTATTTTCCTAAATAAATTCTAAATTCTTTTTGCTAATGATTTAAATTGTTCAATTCGTAACTTTCTTTCGTCATCTAATTTTTGTGTATAATTCCACAAGTCTATTGTTAATTCTTCTGCACCAAAACTTAAAGCAACCAATCTTAAAAAGAAAAGTGTTAATTTTTAACAAAGAAATATTTTTGAAATAAAATAAAATTCTATCAAATTATTTATTACCTCGCTAAAGTCATACGTAGCATAAAGTCTTCCGAAGATAAGAATAACTTATTGTCATTATTTGAAGATCTTTGACTTTGACGTTGACGTTGACTTAGGAAATCTTTTTGAATGTACTATATAGAAACATATCATAAAAAATAAAAGCGTCCGAGTAAATTTGTAAATAAATAATAAACAAACAATATATTATCTCAAAGAAAAAAAGAATGTTTTACCTCTGAAACATTTTCAGGAATAGTATAATCAGAATACCTTTGAATACTAATGAAATTTCTGAACTTTAAAAGAACTTCTTCATCCTTTTCTTCTCCTTCAAATAAATTCAAGTTTGCTGTATCATCATCTTCAAATTTTAAATTCAGTGGAATGGTACAATCAAACTAACGAATAATGATAAAAATAATAATTATTATTAGTAGCAATATTAGTATTATTGTTGTTGAAATAAAGAAAATTTCTAATTTAAAAGAGAAAACCTAACTGGTAATAATGATTTTGAATTTGATAAGGTTATGATTCCAATATCTGTCTCAAGTTCAAAGTTATAAAAAGGATAATTATATCGAAGTTTTTGATCATTAATTATTTCATTTAAAACTTGAAAATTATTAACTCCTAAAAAAAGTTTAATATAATTAAAAAATTATAAATCATAAAAAATCAATTTAACATAAATAAAATAATTACCATTAGTGTTCAATTTCCCCTCATCCAAAACTGTCTCGTCAATTAAAAACCATGTTCCGTTACTAACTTGAAAAACGCCAGAATCTAATACATGATCACTACGCGGATAATAATAGTTGGTATTGAGTGAGGATAGTGTAAGTGGGAGATCATGATATTTTGGCAGTAATGATGATAACATTGTTGCAATATTTTTAGCAAAATCATTGTCATGCTTAAGTTTTATATTTGGATGTTGTTGTTGTTCAGTGGATGTAACTTTGCATTTTGGTAAATTACTAATATTTAATACTAATTTGCCAACTAAAGAAATTCCATTGTGCCTACTAAATCTGGAATTAATAAACAAAAAAATTTTTGATTTTTAATTAATATTCATGAATTTACAAATAATATTATGTATTTTGTGAATATTTACGTTCTGGATAGTAGTTGTAGCAAGACAAATTCTGCTACCAAAGCATCACCGTTAAATACGGAAGATATATATTGTATCAGAAACTTTCTTATTGACAATACATTGACTTTCAATTCTTTGATAGAATTGGGAGAAAAAAATTCAATAATTTTATATAATAATTAATTATTATTATTATTGTAATTAATGATTATTGGATAAATTACCTGGTGTTAAATGTGTAATAATATTTGACGATAAATTTGGATTTCCTGAAGGATGGAGATTTCTATAAAAAATTGCATGAATAGATGGAACTATGACCAATTTTGTTGGATCATCAACATCAACACCCAATGAATTATCTTGTGGAATATTTCTATTAATATAAATAATCATAATATATTTTAACAGTAAAGTAATGGATAATAATAATGTTGCTGTTATTATTTTTAATATCGATATTATTGTTGTGACAATTATAATACCTTGGATGATTAAAAACTCCAATAAACTCTACTACATCTGTAACCTTTAACATATTTTCATTTTCATAAATCTAACAAAAAAATCTTTTAATTCTCCTCCATAATAAAATTTTCAAAGATTTCACAACTTCAATAATAAAATAAATACTTTAATTATGGCTCCAACATGATTTTCATTAGGAAATGGAAATTTAGCAGAAACTTTTTTCATCTCATCATCACTCATCCTGTCATCTCTACTTGTCTTTTCATCATCACTATTATTCAAATTAAGATTTGCTGTAGATTCTAAAATTTCTATTTATTCCATAAAATATTTACATTTATAATTAGGATAATTAAGAAGATTTTCATTATTATAAAAATGCTGCTACTTCAGCTATTATGTGTATTCTTAAAAAAAAATCAAACCTTCTAGACTTGTGTCAATATGTTCGTGTAAATTCTGATCTCTATAGTTGTATATTTATTTCATTAAAGAATAGTATATAAAATCTTTAAACGTACCCATTTATCCATATATAAATATTATATTATAATTAAAGGATATTTTCTTAACCCAAGATGATTCTCCTGGCACAGAAACGCAATAATACAATTGTCTTTCATCAAATGAATTTGAAGACGACGATGATGAAGTATTAATAATATCTGGATTATGAAATTCACCGCCAATATCCTCATAATCCTAATGATAATAGTAATAATAAATTGTTATCGAGTAAGTTGAATAAAAATAACAATATATAAAAATAAATATACATGTAAAATGTGACAAAGTAATGGTTTCCATACTTGTTCAAATTCGTCAGAATATTTACAGAACTTTGTTTTCTTTAAACAAACCAAAAAAATAATATATTATAATCATCAAATAAAGGATCTTTTGCATTTCTACTCTTTCTCTCTCTAGTTTACCTTATTACCATTTTGATCAATAATTTCAAATTTACTCATATAAATCTCATAATCAAAGTTATTGTTTTGTACCATTGCACGAAAACGTACTAAAGAACATTCTGGAATTTTGTCTAAAGGTATATCATTCAATGAAGGTATCTTTACATATATATATATATATATTTATTTATTTATTTACAATATATTTAAGTTTAATGCATTTAATATAACATGAATAAATATTCGTATATTATTACTAACTTGTTTAAAATCTTCTTTAGATGTAAATTTATTTTCAAAATATTTTTGTAATTCTTGGTTATTATTTTCAACTATATGCAAGCAAGATCGGTAGCGAGTTAATATATCATGTGTATAATATATGTTCACATGTTCTTGATATTAAAATAGTAACTTACCAAGAAAATGTTGAATAACATCCAACGGTTTAGAGATGCATTCTTTTGTGGTAAATGTTTTTGTTTGCATTTTATTATTTAAACTTAAAAGTCTTTTTTTTCAGAAAAAACGCGTGAAAAAATACAAATAAAAATACAATCGACGTTACACTAAAAATTAAATTCCAGGAACATAATAATAATACTGATATATACTAAATGCAAAAGATGTATGATATTGTGTATGTACATACTTTTCTAACATGAATTGTCTTTTTTTTTGGCAGATCGAGTAAATTTAAAATGATTTATGAATGAATGAATGTCCTTTTTTTTAGCAGAATTAAAAATTAAAAATGTTTTAAAATGATTCTATATCTACAAATAAGTCTATCAAATAAATAAATTAATAAATACATGAACCTTTAAAATGAGTTTTTTACAGAAATAAATAATATATTACACCTAATTATGATGATGATGATGATTAAAATCTGGTAATGACAAATGACAATGATGATGCGACGTGATGACCGTGACGATGATAGTATGGCGGTGGTGATTATGATGATGATGATGATGATGATGACGACGTATGGTGATGGTGAGTGATAAATTTAAAACAAGCAAAAATTTATAAATAAAGGGTATTGATTCATTGCAGAAACCCAAATTGTTCTTAATTTCCTTGACCATAGTTAGGTCCAAACAATGGTATCAAAAATGCTTCATTTTTACCAATTGACTCAATTACCACTTTTTTTGTGAGGTCATAGGGTAACCAAGTACCTTGATATTTAATATTGCCACCAATTATAATGTGTCTTCGTGTACTCCAAGCCTGATCCCAACACTTTAACTTTTCCAAATTTCTCAATGTATTATTGAAATAACTTTTTAATGTATTAAGATGTACAAAACCACTCTCCTTGTCCCATCTTACATAAATATTGTCGTAACAATATTCATAAGCTAATTAATTTTAATGTTTTATTTGAAAAAAAAAGGAGAATATATGTATATCATTATTAGTAAACGTTTATTACAAATGAAATATTTATCATATCATATCATAATACTTACCATGACTAATTCTACCATTTGCACGTTTATACTGAATAATTTTAATATCAATACCTTTTATTGGATAAGGTGACCAATCGGTTCTATTTGTACCTGATATTTGATCTTGATCAGTTGTTATATCAGTTTTAATTTTTTTCACTGCCCTTGATGCTGAACCGTCAGCTTTGTTTGTTGTTTTTTGGCTGTCGTCTTTTCTTGATCTCTTCAATCTGCGACATGGCCAATCAAGTGCAAATAGTTTTAAATGTCGCGTACATCTTAAACATCTCATTGTATTTTTACTGGATGTAAACATATCATCACATATCTTGCACCATCTTCTTATTATTTTGGCTGCTTTATCGTTATCATTATCAACAGCAATTATAGCAGCATTAACAAAATCAACGGCAGCGGTGACATTAGTGGTGGGAGCATCAGTGTTTGATATAATATTTTTTGAAGAATTTGATTGATCAGTGCCATGGGCTTTTTTAACCAAAATTTGATCTCCATTAAGAACTCTGACAAATGGCCAAGATATAGTTTGACTGCCATTACAAGAGTTGGATTCTGCATTTTTATTTACAATATTAACACTTTCCAAGATACTACTACTTCCAGTTTCAATTTCAGTTGAGATAGTACCAGGTGAAATTGCAAACTTCAAATTTGATTTTTTTGTATTAGGTTTATTATTAAAATGGTAAACGGTTTTGGTGTTCAGATCTTTGTTGACTTGTTGTAAATTCATTATACCCATACGTCTTAGGAGAGTGGATGAATGAGCACTAAAAACATTTTTTGGAATTCGATGGATGATGTTGTTATAATTAGATCCTTGGTCAAAGGTAGAAGAGGAGGTAACTGCAACATTATTGGTCGTTATATCAGACAACAACATCATTGCAGCATAGTTAGAACTATTATCTTCAGCATCAGTTTTTGGAACATCATTATCGATGTCAATGCCAATAAGATTTACTTCATCTCTGTGATTACTAGTAACATCGTTCATTTTAAATCTTGGCATAGATATTTCCCTTTTTACAACAGGTGTTTCTAATTTATTATAATAAATAAATAATTAGTATAGTTATTGATTTAATGATCGTATCAAATTACTATATTGTTGAGTTTAGTTGATAAAAAGCTTACCATCTTGTACTAAATTAGTGCGATTACGTGCACTACGACGCACTATTTTGCCTACTCCATAATCATATACAATTTTGTTAATGGAGCCAATATTTTCTTCGTCTAGAATTGCTAATTCTGGTTTGTATCCACCTTTCACGAGACGTTCGCATGTAGCACATAAACATTCACAATTTCCTTCTCCAAAATAGTCATCATCATAGTATGAAGTAAGTTCTTCACCAACCTTAACGCTTCTGGTAAATTTAAATGAGATCTCACTCTGTCCACTTGCAATGAATGTAGTATTGGGTTTACAATCGTGCTATTTTATGCAAAAGGCGAAGGAAATTTGTGCAAAGTTCATGATTATTCAATAATAAATTATTAATGACAACAAAAAAATTTTTTTAAGAAAGTGAATCTTTTATGATAAATATATAAAAATAAAACAACAACTCACGTTCACAAATCGTGCTGGACCAAGTAACAAGCACATTACATCTTTTCTCTGAGACCATATTATGCTAAAATCCCTGCCACCATCTAATTTATTATCCTCTTCTTTTGTGAGAGGAACTAATGCACCAGTACATAGACGAAGTTCATCTCCTTCCTTAAAATCTTTTGTAGCAACTACACATGCTTCTCTTTTAGAAGATCCAAAATATCTTTTTGTTTCTGCTATCTCGTATCCTGAATTTACCTGATACATTTGTAAATATCGTTTTGCGTGACTATTTTTGAAATAAAACAAATAAGATATAAAATGTTATACATATTTTGCATACGAAATTACTGGCAATAAAAATCATTTAAAAAATATATTACTTGACAAAAGTGAGCTCATCAGATTTCGACTTTACCGTGCTTTTAATAACCGGAATTCTTTATATATTAATGTTAAATTAAATACATTTCACAATTAAAAAATATACATATGTATGTACGAATGAAAGAATGAATGAACCATAATTATAAAATATACATGAAGTTCTTGGAATGGCTGTTGGAAATACCGATTGAAAATTGTTTCTTACTCATCAAATTAAATATATCAATGAAATATTTACCTAAGCAATTCCTTGCAAGCTTGGTCTAAATTAACTTCTTCGATCACATTTTTCTTGATGATGCTATGAATTACATCTGAAGGAATGTCAACGATATTGTAATCAGGATTTAATTTGAATGTATGGAACCACAAAAAAAGACGGTCTATAAGGACGTCAGTTAGGATATCATCTATTGTTTCGAAAATTTTGTATGATGATGGGGAATTTTTTGCGAGCATTTTTTGTTCAATTAAAAAAATGAATGAAATTTTTATATTAATGAAAGTTCTAAGGTATGAAATGAAAATGATAAAAAAAGTATTTTGAATGGTACGGTACAAGCAAGTCATTTAGAAGCTGGGTTTTCTGCGCCACGTGGCTAATTTTGGAAAAACGTATTAAATCCATAATACTAATACAGTGCGATCATCTATAGCCAAAAAATTTTGAAATATCATGTGAAGATGTTGCGCCACTCGCCGAAATTTTTATGTCTTGCTTTATAAAGACCGTGACATTTATAGATGACTTGAACCATATATATACATACAGCGGATGCAGACACGGACACAGACTGTCCCGTACGAGAGCTTTAATGTTTCAAAATAAAGTTTTGGATTGTACAAGAACAATATACTTGTATATAACACTATTATTATATAACTATTAAAAACTATTCACAGTAAAGATACGTGAAAAGTCATTATATTTCGGAAAAGTATGGAATCCGCAAGGAATTTATTATCAGTTATTCAGGTAATTCGGACATTTTCCGAACAGGCAAAACCTTTATCCATTTGTCATCATGGATAAAGGTTTTGCCTGTAGAGGGATATATTATAATTATCCTACCCATGAGTTTGTCGATCATAGAGTGAGTTATCCGGACAAAATCCCGGAGATCAACATCAGAAATATCCATGCCACACACCCCGAAAGGCAGAAGCTTTATCCATTGTTATTCCATGGATAAAGGATTTGCCTTTCGGAAAATGTCCGAATTAGGTGCTTTATCGGCAATTTTTTATTGAGACAACATTCACGGTGTATTGTAAAATTACGGTACACAACATAAAAAATTAGTGTAACATTTTGAATGTCCATTATGCTATATATATATATGGATCATTATTTATTTGAAAATGATTGTTGATGATATATATGGATCATTATTTATTTGAAAATGATTGTTGATGATATATATGGATCATTGTTTATTTGAAAATGATTGTTGATGATATATATGGATTCACTAAGAAACGTAAAATTTCAACTTATGTGAAAAAAAAAAATTATCGTATGATAATTAATTTGTACATTTTTTTTTTTAGTAATAGTAAATTTGTCAGCACAAGAAAAAAATCATTAAACATCCGCCTTGTTTTTTTTTAATTCCATGCTTCCCCAAAAATTATGTTTATAAAAAACATTGTTTTAAGCTGCTTAATATTAAATATTAATACTAAATATTAATTAATTAATTAAGTACTTCTATACAACGCTTTCAATTTTGTAAATTGTAAAACAGTAAATCCTTTTTTGTAAACTAAATTCCATTTATTTATTCATTATATAGTTTCGTTTTTTTCTTACGTTAATAAATTACGTAAATAATATGAATTATAATAACGCGCAAAACAGTGAAATAATATAAATATTGGATTAGATAATGAGCATAATGAGTGACTTTTGTCTTTAATTTCATCACAAACAAAATTTGTGCTACATTTTAAGGGATAATAAATAACAGAGGAGCATAAATCAAAGATTTTTGGGAGAAACATGCACTTTATTTGTTGTTTATATGCACTGTTAGTTTGTTTCTCAATCATCATAACTATGATAACTTTAATCAATGTTAATGGGTTGTATAATGAGAAAGGTTATATTTCAAAGAACCAAGCTTGTAAATTGTACTAACATAAACCGTAAACCTTTATCCGTTATTATTATTATTATGCTACAATTCAAAAGCTATAATTAAAACAACAAAGAAACATAAAATCGTGAATTTGTAACAAAAAGTTGAAGTTGGTATATATCAGCGCCGTCAAAAAAATGTTAAATTTATATATTTTTTATTTTTTATTCATTGAGGTATTTATTATGAAACAAATTATAAAAAAAAAATCGAACCGCGTTCGAATTATCGTGTGTAGAGTAACTTTTGCAAACACACGAGTTGTGTTTTTGATTTTGAAATTAACTACGCGTAATATGTGCTTGAGCTGACTTTATTGTCTGAATTTGAAACACACATAGGCTGGTCAATATTGGTATTTTTACATAGTACATAAGACAGGTTTAGGTACAAAGAAAACAAATAAACAATGCTAAAATGCTTTTATTGTTGAATCACAATGAATCAAATCACTAGCTAGAGTTTGATGATGATGTTTTTTTTTTTTTTGATGATGAAATTTTTCTTTAAATGTTGCAAATCGTTACTTTTCAATTTTCAAGATTTGATGTAACAAACAAACGATACTATTGTTAAAAGTTATTACCAAAGTAAAACTACATTTTAACTTCAAGGCTGAGATGCATTCATTCAGTGTTTGCACAATCCCTCAAAAGGAAACAAAATGGCCTTTAATGGTTTCTAAATTTGTAATGATTATAATGATTATACAATCAATCCAAAAAAAAAAGCATTTTCATTGAATTCGATTATAATGGAGGCCTGCGTAACAATATATTTGATTGATATAAAAACGATCGTCTTTCATAAATTTTTTAATATCATTAAATCAATAATTTTTTGATAATAATGGCTGATAATCTAGAAATTAAAGATAATGACAGCGGTGGTAGTGGTAAAAAAAAAAATCAATATTATATTACAATTAGCAATGATGGAGAATATATAGCTAGACTTGATTGTAGTAAGGGTGAAAATTTAAGATTAAAAATTACACATCACGAAAATCTTGAATCGTTAAATAATGATAGTGATAGTGATAGTGATAGTGACAGTGATAAAGAACAAGACAAAGTAAAGATTTGTGATATTGTTAAAAAATTAACATTTTTAGATGAACTTGATCCATATGTAAAACCTCCAGAGGATAATAGCAAACAGGAAAAACAAATAAAAGAGGACGATAGAAAACTTTTATTTTGGTCATTTTCTATATCAAATATGTTTTTTTTTAATAATAAACCAACAATTTTAGTGGCAATTTCAAGAGTAGTACCAAATGATATGATTAATCGTGATAGACCAATTAAACACTTACTTGATAAACTTGAGGAATACAAAGAACTCAAATCAGCACATCAAAGTATGAAAGAACTTTATTATCCCTTGCGTTCACAACCCTCTAGTACTGTAATGTTTTATATAGATATAAGTGATATTTACAAAGATGATGATAAAAGTAACAATAACAATCATGAGATTAAGATAGATGAAAATGGAATTTGTTTAACTAGTAATATTGGTGGAATTGTGAAGTTTTTACCAGAAGTTGAAAAAAACAAAACAAGTCTTTTAATAACAAATGTAAAAGGATTTTATAAATCTCTTGATGATTTAGATAAACCAAATATTCATTCAAGTTTAAATTTAAAAAAATTTCTTTTTTCACCAAAACTCAAAAAAGATATTGAAGTTAGGTATAATCAAATACCTTGTTTGGAAAAACTTGTTTCCTGTATTTATAAAAACTATTTTCTATCTAATCAATATAAAGACAGAATCCAAACAATGGAATTGTATTCAATGTTAACAATGGAAGCAGAACAAAGTTTTTTTACTCGTGAAGAATTAAAAACTCGAAAATATGGCATTCCTACTTATGCAATTTCATTGAATAATCTTTTACTAGCATTTACACGTGGAAATAATGATATTAGAATTTATTCTATGGAATCAGGTCTTTTTATTGCTTTAAAAAGTTTGGATAACAAAGATGAAGTTTTATTTCTAGAATTTATACATGATGATGAAAGATTATTCATTGTTACACGAAATGACACTAATTTTAAAATCTCCATAAAAATTTGGGATATTTTTAATTCTTCTCCTGAAGATTTTAAATATGAAATTAACAACAATATCATTCCAAAAAAATTTGATTGTTTGAATATTGCAAGATCAAATGGGATGATTTTTTTTGTTAAAGAAGATGGCAAAGTCTTAAATGTTCTTGAAAATATTAAATTCAAACAATTCAAAGTATTTGAAAATGATGATGACAATGATGGAACAGAAGAAAAATCATTTACTATATTTAAAGATTTTAAGAAAGTTGACAAATATTTAAATCATTGGTATTGCTGTGAAGACAATGATGCTGATAAACATAAAATATTTGACCCTTTCAAAAAATATGATGATGTTGGCAATTCAAAAATTTCACTGTTAGTAGATAATGAGGAAAAATGGGTTGATGTTCATAAAATTAAACCAATAGTAAATAATAAGGAACAATGGGTTGGTATAAAAAATTATGAAAAAACATCTGCTTTTATTGATGAAAATCAATTATTACAATTAATTATTGGTTTAACTACTGTTCAAATATGGCGTAAAGTTGATGATGAATCTTCAATTCTTGAATATATTTGGATGTTTAAACATGTTGAAAAAGAAAAAAATAAAAATAGCAATGATGTGGAAAATAAAAATCATGATGGTAATGAACATTTAAAAATAAAGAATTTGAGAGTTGGTTGTAGAAAATTTGAACTGGAGGTTACTTGGGGTGATAATGATGGGAGCAGCAAAAAAATCCAATGGCCTTATCCAGATCAATATGTAACACCTATAAGACATGCTTGTAAGGCTCTTGAGTATCTTAATTTTAAAAAAGATTTATTAGTAAGCTATAAAAAACAACATAGATTTGAAGAAATGTATGAATCTATTGTAAAAATTATTTTGAAATTCATTAGAGACAAACCTGAAATATGGAAACTTATGGATACTCGTTATGAGGTTATGTCAAACCTTATCAATGGTGGAGTTAATTCTCTTATAAAGTATATTTTATTCAGTAAAGATCAAATTGGAGACAATAGTATTATTCAAAATACAACCAAAAAAACACCATATAATACTTCTAATCGCTTGCATTTACATTTACCAAGAGCTAAACAGTGGCAAAAAAATAAAAATGAAAATGGAAATGAAAATGGAAATGGAAATGGAAATGGAAATGGAAATGGAAATGAAAATATTCAAAATAATGCATTAGTATTAGCAGTCAATTATTCTAAAAAAAAAAAAAACAAATTAATTGTAGGCTACTTATTAGAATATTATTCCAACAATGCTATTGAACATATTGGATGGATGATCACTGTTTCAACAACTTTACCTTTACTTTTCAAATCTCATTTAGAAGATTATGTGTATGATTTATTTTACAAAGAATGTTTTACTGATAATAACATAGGAACAAATTTTAAACTTTTTTTGGATAAAGAATTGACTGATAATAGCACAGAAATAAATTTTAAGCTTAAAGAAGATGCTGAAAGCAACCCCCTGCAAAATAGTGTAAAGAAAATAGCTTTTGGAAAAGATAATCAAAATAGAGCAAATGAGACTAAAGAGAAAACTGCCCAAAAAGCTGAAGGAAAAAACAAACACAATAGAGTACCATTCAACATGTGTGTAGTACCACTTCCAAATTTCACAGTTAATAAGATTGAAAAGAAAAATGTTCAAAAAAATGTCACAACTTGTCTCAGATGCCTTATACTTCCTCATAAGTATATTGATAGTGAAACAGAACTTAGTACATTTATTCAAATGATCAATTTAGATGAAAAAGGTTTAATTTTTGATAATCCAGCAATAGAAGCTTTAATAAATTTTCGTTGGAGACCTGCAAAAATATATTTTTCATTACTTTTCTTTATTTTTATACTATATGCAGTTTGTTATTGTATATTAGTTTGGGCCTATACAACACATCAAAATAGTTCAATTAATCTTCGAAACTTTTTAATTTTAGTTATGAGTTATTTTTATTTTACAGGATATTATCTTTTGTCAACTGAATTCAGACAATTAAAATATTCTGGATTTATAAAATATTTTTCTAGTAGATTCAACACATTGGATATTATTGCTATTATTGTATCCTTAATTGTTGGAACATTTATAATAGTTAAATCATTTGAAATTGATGATGCATTTGGTAGTGTTAAACCTGATCAAGGAACAATTGTTGTTATATCTTTTTCAATGTTAATTCTTTGGATTGAATTTGTAAGTAAAGCTATTGTTTATCATTTTTGTTATTATTATTAATAATTAACTAATTAATTAATTGTTTATTTAAAAAGCTTTCATACCTTAAATTATTTGAAGGTACATTGTGTGTATATATATATATTATTTTATAAATATAAAAATATATTAAAAAAATTTTAAATTTTTGTAGGTGTAGGAATTTATATTAGAATCACAGAAAAGCTTTTGGGAACTGTTTGGCCATTTTTGATATTTATGCTTATTGTTATATTGGCATTTTCTCATACAATGTAAGTAGTATATTTGTATTTTAAAACATTCTCTTTAAAATAATATAATAATAATATATTATATTATAGGTATATATTGCTACAAAATCCAAATGATATAGGATTAGTACCAAATGTGAATACATATTCTATAATCAATACAACAAATGATCAAATATTATATAATGATATAACAATTAAAGCAGATTTTGATAGTGCATCATCAATTGATAATCCATTTTCAAACTTTTGGAGTTCAATTCTAGCTGCATATTTTTGGATTAATGGTAACTGGATAAATAGGGATACTTATGGCAGTTATTTTGCAGTTCAAATTTTATCTTTAATTGCAAGCTTGTTAATTGTAAGCATTATACAAAATATGTTTATAGCTTTTATGAGGTGATTAATAATTATATTTTATTGTTTTAATAATAATAATAATAATATTTCCATATTAATGCAAATAAATAAATTTTATTTAGTAATGTGTATGAAAAAACATTACAAGAAAGTAAACTTGAACTACTCAAGCTCCGAGCTGCTTTCATATCAGACTATGGTGCTTTGGATTTAGATGATGATTTTTTAAATCCTCCTAAACCTAGTCTGGAATACATTTGTTATAGTGATAATAATCTTGATTCATGGAAAGAAAGAACCAAATCAAGAAGAGGCTGTTTATATACAAAATATGAAAATGAAAATTCTTATATTCAATACATTCTTGAAAAAAAGGATTTTGACCATCAAGATGGTTCTTTATGGCAGATTTATAATAAATTAGATGATTTCAATGATGATGATGTTAATGAAAAAATTTCAAATTTAGAAAAAAAAATGGATATCAATAATGGGAAAATGGATATCATAATGTCACAATTACAACAATTACAACAATTACTCAAAAAACCTTGAAATTTTCTCTTTAAAAAAATACAATGTATTAATTATTTTTTCTTCCAAGCCCAGGATTAGTTTTTATTATTTTAACCCTTTATTTTATGTGATAATTTTTATTTATATACAATTTTAACATTTTTACACATCAAGTATTTGTTATTTTTTTTTTAATTAAAAATATAGTTTTTATTATATTAACCCTTTATTTTATATCATAATTTTTAATTTTAAACCGTTTTTACGCATCAAGCATTTTAATTGTCTATTATAATGTATGTTCATATACGGATATTCTAATACTTTACATTATGTCACAAAGATGCTAAATGCTACAATATTACCATGTGATTTCACTAAATTCTAAATTTTAAATTTATGACAAACAACTTAACATCAAAATCATATATCTTTTCTGAAATGAATTAATCGATCAAAATCTGGTCATATTTTCATTTAGATTTTTGTTATCGGTGATTCCCCAATTGTTACTTGATCAGATGACTCAGGAAAGAAAGCTGAAGGAGTAAATTGCAAATTTGAAGGAACCTTAAACTGGAATACAACACAAAGTATAGTAATAGCATATAGTATTTCTAGCAGCATCTTAATTATTGCCGTATCTGTAAATTTTTGCTTATAAATCTATAGAAGCTAGGTTATAAAAACCTCACTACCAACTTCAAGTTTATTCATGGGATCGGCATTTGAATTTCATAGGAAATCACCAAAATAATTGATTGTAATTCGTTTAATTAGTGTAGTATCTAAAGGAGTTGATGGTAAATTACGATTTTTCCTTTGTCTCTCCGCAACTTTTTTTTTTTTTTTGCTGAATGACAGTAATAAGTCCATTAAAAAAAAAGAACAAAAAATTTGTAGCAAAGCAGGCGAATATTTTGTAAATTCTGCAAACTTTTTTTTATTATCGCCATAGTGATTCCTCAATCCTGAAATTACAGCATTTATTTTTTAACATAGTTTTCTTTTTTGTATTGCTTAAATCTATTTTAGATTTTGGCTTTCAAATATTTCTAGAATTTTAGTCGAATCATCATCATACATGTGAACTTAATGGTGCCCTTTTCCCATCAAACAACCGGAATAAATATACAATGAACGAAATTCATTTGTTGATTTACCGAAAAAAAAAAATTGAGACAAAGTTTTGCAAGATTGAAATCCAAAGCAAGGAACCCTAATGTTTGCATAGTCCACTAATTCTCCATTGCATTTAAAGAACCATTATAAATTTTTTAAAAAAAAGTCAATAATTATATCTTTTCAAAGAAATATATAGTAATCTATTTAAAAATTTATATTGAAGAGGGACAGAGTGAGAAATATGATGTTTTTAATACATCCAAAATTTTCAATCAAAATAGAAAAATAAAAATTTTAAATTAATAATATTTTACTATGATTTTTTTAGTTATTCTTTCATTTAATTTTTTGAAAATAATAGTAGCCAAACCATTGCCAATTAGAACTTCTGCCTTGCCTCTGAATCTACTACATAACTTTTATAAAGTGACCTCAAATTCAAACTCCTGGTCTTCAAATAGAAAATTAATAAAATTGCTCGCGGTTATAACCTTTGTTGTATCATTGGAATAAACATATAATCTTAATTATTCTTTGTTTTTAAACCCGGAAGTCATATTTTGACTGTGCTTGTTTCATTTAGGGATGCTAAATTGTTCGTCAGCCCAGCTTAGTTCGGCTCAACCCAGTTTTAGAGTAATCAAATACGAAATAATATAGTTATATAAATATTCTCAAGCATGCTATTTAGAGCTAAATTTACTCAGACGAGTTTGGCTCCAAATCTGCTAATACTAACAGCTAACGTATTATTTTTATTGTTACGCACAACAAAACGCTACATTCCGACAATTCATATTTAACGTTAAATATGTATTTATACAGTTACTCTAAGAATTTGGATGCATTTGCTTAAAATTCCCTTTAATTGTAGTAATCCCAGTTTCTTTTGAGTACAAGGCTTGGGACAAAGTTACAAATCCCGTTTGTCATCAACTTCTTTGATAAATTTTATCGTGATTTATCATTTGAGATATCATATGCGATGATGTTGTTGTTTCGTTCGAATAATCAAATGGTTTAAGCATACCTTGCGACATATTTGGCGTAATATTATCGTTTGTAAGGTTTAAAGTTTGTAAAATTATAAGTAGAAAAAACATATGGTGGTATCGATCATGTTATTATATTTGAACAAGAATGAGATGACAGTGGCAGCGGTAGTCGTAATATAGGAATAAACTCTTGTGCACATGTTAAATTTTGTTCACTCATAAGTTGGATTTTAAAAAACCATTCAATTCAGTTTTAAAAAGGGAATCAATCCATAAAAAAAAATTTTGTCTCATTTTTTTTTTCATGGATTTTTTAATGCTAATTTTCGTGTTACAATATTTTTGCATTATATGATCAAAATTTAAGACAAGCAGAAAAGTAATATGGTTGTACTGCTTCCACATGAACAGAGAAAAACAAACTTTTACTATCTGCTATTATAAAGTTAAAAATTTTATTATTATTTCTGCAATTATTATTAAAGTCCTGAAGCTCCAATTGTTCATCACAAAAAAGCTAACTTTTGAAATAATTAAATTAAAAAAAAAGTATATCAAATAATTTATTAGTTAATTAATGGCAGATAGAAATCAATTCATTTTATTGAAAAAAAACTTTATCATTGTAATAAAAATACCTGAATAATGTTTTTTTTTTACAAGTCAAGAATCCAAGGTTTCAAAGATTCCTCTATATCGTCATAACCATCCTCAAGAAATCTTTTAGTGATCTCCTCTTTATAATTGTTTGAATTTGTTTCATTCATTAATTTGGATACAGTTAATGTATTACATTTACGAGCTAATTCAGCAACATTCATCTGAGGGTTGTTTTTAAAAATAGTAATTGCAGTAATTAAATTGTGAATAGGGCCTCCTAAAGAACTGGATATTTCTTTTAGATCTTGTATATTATTAATATTATTATTTAGTAAACTTTGATTTATTTTGCTACTACTACTGCTATCATCACCAATTGCAATATTATTATTATTATTATTAATTTTACTACTTTTATTTCCAAGATTCTTAATGATGGGTGATAAAGGTTTTAAGCTAAATTTATCACATTTCTTTTGCCATTTTTGTTTTTTTTTATTTACTGAAATACTTGGCATTGTTATTGTTGAATTGTTACCAACTCCCACCAGATCAAAACTATGAGGAATTTTTTCTGTTGACTTGTATGAATTATTATTAACGGTATTAATTCCCAGATCAAAACTATAAGGAATTTTTTCTGTTGACTTGTATGAATTATTATTAACAGTATTAATTC